TTTGGGTTGAAAAAAAGCGACACTATTTATGAGACAAACCTAATATAATGTGTTTGTTGTTACTTATTGCTATTTTCCTCTTATTATGGTACAAGTGCTCTTTCACGATTCCGTTTTCAGGTATACCTACATATTAGTAGCAATCATAAACTTGTGAACCTATTTCATGTTTCCATACACGTACGAGGAGCCATGACATCCGTTTTGGTGGAGAGTTGATTGCATGGGCGCACCTCGGGTTGAAGTGCTTTATAGTGATCATCTCTTCACCTTATACAAAATCTGAGGAGGTGTAGGTACTTCTCAGGCGAAAAAGAAAAACTAAGCACGTTTGAGGAAGAAGCCACTCTTCTTCCCACTGAGCGAATTTGCTGAAGGTAGTGTTATGGTTTTAGTCGCCTCCTCTGGCTTTTAGGGCTCGAATCGTGACCACCGCAATCTCATCAGCACCACTGCTTACAAAGACGTTCCTCGACTCAAACTAGTGCCATAAGCAAGCAATCCTCACTCGTTATCTTCAACAAAAATAACGCTACCTTTCATGCAAGTGCCTCAACGATGGCGCCGTTTGAAGAGAAAAAATTTAGCCTTCTCATCTGATTGAACTCGAAATAAAGATCCTCTGAGACATTCTCGTCCCTGCCTTTTAACCAACTATGGACAGTTCGAAAGAGTGGAACAATCAAAAATTCCGTCCAAGAGATTGAGAGCTGGCACCACTCCAAACAATCTCCCAACTTATCTTGAGCGCGTCAAAGCGGACACTTGAAACCACCAAAAGGTGAGGAAATGTTGCAAGGTTGCATTTGTTTGCGTTGTCGTAAGTTCTGTTAAGCATGCCGTAGAGAAAGTCGGGCACAGAAGTGAACCAATACTTTTGGGATACCATTTTTTTCGCAAAAGAAATTGAAAAATCTGTGTCTGCTTCTCTTTTCAAATTCATACTATTCGACACAACTTTACTAAGCTATTGCTTGTGAAAATTTGGAGAAGAGCCATTGATTTGCTCCAGATATCGATAAAAAATGAAGTGAACGTATACTTTTGGGACACACTGTAGTAAGAGCTATTTTGAGGCGCCGCCGGTCGCCAAACTGATTACAGCTTTAGCGCGTCTGCAAGTCGCTACCAACATCCCGTACGGAGTTTCTCTATGGTAAATTGTAATGACTAGTCCATAACTTAAAAGCGTTCATTTTTTTTCACTAGACTCCTCACTCTCTTTTCCCTACATTTGGACCGTGTGTGCTTTGGCTGGCTTCATCTTCGCTTCAATCATGGTTTACTTTTATCATCTCACCCAAATATCAGTCCGCGCCGCTATTGATTTTTACCCGTTGGCACCTTCTTCTTCTCAGCTCCTCACTCGCTCGAACTGCGTCCTACTGGTTTCCGACATCTTCGTTCAACCCAGCTCATTTTTCCTCACAATCGAAAAACGCCTTAAGAAAGCAGCATCCTTTTGATTAATAAGTGGTCACTCTTAGATGGTTTGTGCTCTCGGCTAGTCGGCAGGCTGTCGCTTAAAGTAGTCTCCACGAGCTCCATATTCTACTGTCCATCTCGTACAGTAATACGACAATTCGAACAAAGTTCTTCAAAAACCGACACAACGAGGAAGCTAGAACGCTGATGAGGTCACACCCCATTGAGCAATTCTCAAGAGCACGTTGACGACATACGCCACGTTTTGGGCTTTCTTTGACGCGTGGTCGCGGGCCAGAACGATTTAAGGCGTCACACAAATCCGCAGATTTTGAGGGCTTCAAAAATCGCCGAACTTGAGTAGGCGGCAACCACTGCGAGGTGCATTTGTTTGCGTTGCCGTAAGTTCTGAGCATGCCGTAGAGAACGTCCGGGCAGAGAAGTGAACCAATACTTTTGGGATACCATTTTTTTCGCAAAAGAAATTGAAAAATCTGTGTCTGCTTCTCTTTTCAAATTCATACTATTCGACACAACTTTACTAAGCTATTGCTTGTAAAAATTTGGAGAGATTGATATTGCTCCAGTATCGAGAAAAAGAACGTGAACCGTATACTTTTGGACAATTGTAGGAAAACGCTATGTACTTGTTCATATGTACGATGTTTCCATGCCGTAAATTTGTATGCTAACATTACTTGAAGGTTCACTTGTCATAGAACTTCCCCACTCTTGCTTCCTACATTGGCTGTGTGCTCTTCATTACGGCTTCATTTCCAAGGTTTACTTTTAGCATCCCACAAATCTCTCCGCCCGCTTTCGATTTTTTATCTTGCTCTTCTTCCTTCTCAGCTCCTTCACCTCCTTGAATTGTCTACTGGTTTCCGACATCTTGTTTAAGCTAATGTTTCTCCAACCAGAAACGCTTAATGAATGCATCAATCTTTTTGATTGAAATGGTCTCCCTATCCATGGTTTGAGGTATTCTCAGCAACAGCGTCGGTCTTACAATATTTCTCACGAGCTCCTTCGATGTCGTCGTAAAGTAATACACAATTCGAACAAGTTTTTCAAACCGAAAACGAGGAACTAGAACACACGGTCACAATTGACAATTTTAACACGTTGACGACATCGCACGTTTGGGCTTTTTTGGGCAGAGCGATTTTAAAGGCGCCACACCAAATCGCGCAGATTTTGAGCTTCAATAAACGCCAAACTTGGATACGGCAAAAAGTTTCCAATGATATTTGATGTGATAAACTTATTAGAAGTACAATTGTAAATGTTCCATGGAAATGACGTGTCATAGCAATGAAAAGGCAAATTTTAGTTGCTCTTCCTGTAATGGATCCCAAAACTATTTTTGAAAGGTGGTTCTACTGAAAAGAACTTATACATAGAGGTCTGTACTAAGTTCGAATACTGTTTCTTATATTCATGTTCAAGAAAATCTAAAGAAAACGAGGAATGAACCGAACCGAAGGATCTGCAGTGTTTGGAAAACCTTCGATAAATTTAACAATATTCAACCATTTGGGAACCCACGACGTTTACGGTCGCGTTGTGATGTGATCTATAGAATAGATGCAAAAAATTAGAAAAGAAGTAGCGCATGCGCGAAAAAATTAATATTTGTGTGTGCAGCGCATGCGCTGCACACGGTCCCACACGGTGCTCAAGGTGTGATGCGCATGCGCTGCACAATGTCGTCAACGTGTTAAAAGAAGTCTGAGCCTTTCTTCCTCTTGCGAAAGTTAACGGCAACATTTTTGCAGATAAAACCCTACAGAACAACTAAAAATTTCTAATCCCTGGGTTGGTAACATGGTATCAATATGCGAATTTTTAGTCCCAACCTGTCATATTCCATGATGGTATTCAAGCGATGCGCTATCGTGAATACAGTACTGTGCTTGAACTGCTGACGAATGGTTATCTAGAAGCAATGTATTTGTTCAAGGAGTACTTGCTTATAGGAGTTGGTCAGTAGAATGTTTTTCGGTAGACCTGTATCAGTGAGTCAGTTGTTACGTCGACAGCAGCAGTTGCTTCATCCAAGACAAGTACGCGCGCGTTCCGCAGCACTGCACGTGCAAGACACACCAGTTGACGTTGACCAACACTAAGAATAATCTATTGAAGGCTAAGAATGTTTGAGTGGACTGCCTGTTTCCCAGTGCCAAAACATATTCTCATAAACACACAGAGACCATATAAGGATACCTGATGTTTTCTCCTCCTTCGCTGATCACGTAATCAAGCCCACCTTGTAGACTAGCAATGAAGAGCTTCAAGTGAGCTAGTTCTAAAGCTTTCCATATTTCAGCATCAGTGTTTCTTTCAAATGGATCCAAATTGAATCGAAGTGTGCCCGAAAATAGCACGGGATCCTGAACAAAAGTCAGCTATATTAAATTTTCTTATACAGACGATTTACAGTCCAGTGATCACTCATGGGTCCAATACGTGGCGAGTGATTAGATAGCTGAGAGAGCGTAGTGTTGAAGAGGGCACAGCGATGAGAGTCGCATCAATGCTCAAATCAACGGGCAAGGAAGGGGTCCCATTTCTCGGGTTCTGGGCCGTTTCTCATGGTTTTTCCTTCTTTCGTGTACCACTCACCATCCTAGTTAATTTGAAATGGGTTGCCTTTTTCAGCGTGAATTCGTCCTTTAAGCGTCACATGGATTTCAACTGATGAATCAGGGTCAACCGTCCGTTCGAACTGTTCGAACGAAGGGGTCGCATTTTGGTCGGAAGGGGGTCGCAATTTCGAGGACTGCCAGCCACAGGCGCGTGCGTGGCGTATCCGAGGGCAAGAATTGTTTGTGCAGACCGCATTAGATTCGATTAATTATGCACAGAGAGACAGTTTTAGGCAAATTACGGTGTTTTCCTTGAGGAATAAAGAACAGTTGAATGCATCCCTATGAAAGGTTTGACTTCTCGGGGCTGAAATTAAAGTTCTTTCGGGACCTGATTTTCTGAGGACGATTCTTCCAGACAACGGTAAAACACATAAGGAAAGCAGAAATCTCGTAGTCTTCAAAAATGTCTTCGCCCCTCCCCAACAAGTTCTTTGAAGGAAGTTATTATTGCTGAAAGCTCAAAAACTCGCATGTGCTGCTCAAAAACCTATGGGAACAAAATGTTCGAACGTGTGATTTTCTCGAAAAATGAATTTGAAAAACGGTTTGGTGCTTGTTAGAAAGAGCAAATCCTGTACTTTCACCCCATGAAAAAAGTGCATCACAGAAATGAAAATGAAGTGAGTTATGCCCGCTTAAAGCCCAAAAACTCGCGATTTCAAAAAAAGTGTTCGGCAAAACCCCCCCCCCAAAATGTTCGAACGTGTGATTTTCTCGAAAAATGAACTTTGAAAAACGGTTTGGGCTTGTTAGAAAGAGCAAATCCTGTACTTTCACCCCATGAAAAAAGTGCATCACAGAAATGAAAATGAAGTGAGTTATGGTCGCTGAAAGCCCAAAAACTCGCTTTTGCACGAAAAATGTTCGAACGGGACAATTTTTTGAAAAAGGGGACAATCACTAAACTTTTTATACTGTTTTGTTAGAGAAATATTTGAAGTTTCTGAAACTTTTTACAGATTTCCAAAATGTCGCATACGAAAGATTTTATGGGCCTTCAAAGTTGAAGGTGCGCCTTCTTAGAATTTTGGGTTTTCCACTTCTAACAGAAGTACTTTCCGGAGAGTTAGGCAATCCTTGTAGTTTTCTGGAAGCGCACCTCAGGCACAATCAAAATCTACCTCAACAAGTCAAAAAATACGTCCCAAGAAAGTTATTCCCTCTAAAATTTTTTCTTCGCCGCGTCCCGTTCTTCCAGCGCCCGGGTGATACCTGCCGCGCTCCAAGGCTGACGCCGCAACGCAGACGCTTTCTGGCGCAACGGATTCATGTCTAGCACTCTTATTAACAAAAACAGGGGGTCGCAACTGGACCCCCTCGAGAGCTAGGGGGTCGCAAAAATCCCGAAAATGTTCGAACGTGACGGTTGACCCTGGTTCAAACTCGATGATGACAAATATCACTCGCGCGAATAGCTCGTCAGGTCGAGCAACGCCGCTGCCGTCTGATGCATTGAACATTTGAATTTTGGAAATCGCCTTTTTTCGGTACGGACACATGTCGCAGTGTCACAACAGTGGGAGAACCTTAAACTTTCTAGGAATTTTCTGCTCCACGTGCCGTTTCCAGCTCGCCTTTAAATACTCGTGCTACGTGTACCTAGACTGAAAACTAATGTGATAAACAAGCTAACAAGAGGAAAAAGCATTATGTGGAGCATTCAGGAAAACCAGAAAATACAGGGGTGGCCAAAAAAAAGAGACACTTCACTCAACATTCAAAACGGAATTATTTACGCGTCGCGAAACCAAACCAAATGACCCAACTGAATATTGAAGAGCACGTTATAATCTATCAACAAGCTACACAACAGCCTTCTACACCGACGACATCAGAAGATTTTCCCACGGAAGCATTGTGCACGGTACGAGCTCAACGAGGTCGTTGAGATACCATAGACGATTACGACGTCTCTGAAACGCAGGTCAAAAGCGGTTTTGCATATTCACAGCTAATGTCTCTGGGAAGCTATTCAACAATTAATTCCATTGAGGAAATTATGTAGCAGCTTCAGGAGCGATTACGGTAAGCCTCGTTGAGCTCGACGGTGACGGCAGATGACGTCATATTCTGAAGACGGCGGGGGCAGTGAAGGAGGGCCTGCTTCTGTTTACGGGGAACACCTAAGGAATATTCCGCCGTAAAACTTTCATTAACATCGGCTCCCTGTGCGACGAAAAGTTCGATGATGTGCGCCATGGGCTAAGTGTCTCTTTTTTTTTGGCCACCCCTGTATATTAGGAAGCTAAGAGATTCGTCTACGCGTATTCTGTTCAATTCTGCAGTCCTCATGTCCTGAAACAACACCCCGATAAATTTCGTAGGGTCACAGCCGTCGACAATGGAGTTGTGGATGCCGAGTCGACTAAATAAAAAAAGCAAAGAAAACTGTCGGGTTAAGCTCTCAACTACGAAACAGCCTGCTCCACGCAACTAACTCACGCGTATTTGAATTAGCCGCTACGCTGTGATCCACGGCGTAAGCGCGACAAAACTCGTCCGTACACTAGAGGTAGTCGCCATAGGTTCAATTTGTAACATCCTAGCGCGACTGTCGCGCACTTTTGAGCCACAACTACGGCGCATCTGTGATACTCGTGGGCAACTCTATCCCACCTACTAAACAAACTCTTCGACTTCTGTTGGAGGTGTTGCATCAAAGCGCTCCTGAAAGAAATGAGTTCTGCGCGGAGAGAATGAGCATGAGTTCAGCCGTCGAATCGGAGCAACGATTAATGAGGAGATATGCTGCCTTATCTACCAAGTCACTGAAGAACACATATGTAGAACAAACCAAGCAATTCCACAGGAGCTACAGCGTTCAGCATCTGAACCCCTCAGGAAGTGAAGTGAGCACTATGATATGATATGATCGCTGACTCGATTTCTCATGAAGGCAATGCGTGCAGAGAATGAAGTAATTTGAACCGTTCGGCGGAGAGGCCATAGTGTTTTGCGACAAAAACATATATTACACACATGCATCTACACCAAACGACATGAACAAAAAGCCAACCTGAGGTATTATTGTAATATTGCTACGTAGATCGTGGAGGCCAATCTCGGAGATGTCGACTCCATCAATAACGATTTTACCAGATGAAGGTTCGATAAGACGGAAGAGAGCAAGGGCGAAAGAACTTTTGCCTTGAAGAGAGGTTATTAATTCAAAAAAAAACAGCCACAAACTGTGCATACTTACCTGCTCCGGTACGACCAACAATTCCTATCTTTTCACCTTCGTTTACATCAGCTGAAATCCCTTTCAAAACAAGATCGAGTCCTTCACGGTACCTGAATGTGGTGGATTCCTTCTACTTTTTCCTTCCGTTCTTTGAGATTTATTGAATAGGGAGCAAATACGGAGCTGAAGAACACATCAGTCAAGAAGTAGCAACCAGGGGTGGAACGCCTATGGAATCTCCCCAGGTCAACCAGCCTTTTCATCCCTCGGACGGGTAATTCATACAAATCTTACCCTGGACGAAAAACACTCATTTAGATATTGGGTGGTCTCCTAAAAAGGATTTGTTGATCGAATTCGCTTCTATACGCTCATAACAGAAGCCGAAGGCGCACATAGACTGATTTAGGCTTTGCAGAATAGCGCACCATTCCAAGCCAGCAGGTCAAGAACTGGTCAAAGAAAACCCTATCTGTGTGTGCTTATCCTCGCTGAATAATACAACGCACAGTCCACAACACGCCCCTGGCCAGCCAGTAAAGACGGCATTTTCCTCCCGCGGCACATTTCCAGCGGTGCTATAACGTGCGTTTCTCATGCATTCTAATAAATAGAAGATGAGAGAAAAAGTTAGACTCACTTCAGTTGGCGTATTCGTGTACTCATCAATCCTTTCTACAGCGACAATGTTTGCTTCAATCTCACTTATTTGACGTATAGCGAAATTCAGCACTTCAGTTATCTGAAACTCGTTCAAAATCATGAAGGTGCAAGTTGTTTTTCAGCACTTCGATCTGAACATACATTCAAAGCGTACGATATTGATACACCAATTATGCCAGGACTAGTTCACCCAACCTGAGCTCCTTGGAAAATACAGCGAAAACAGAGCAGCAAAGAAATCTGGAGCAATCGTCGACTTAATAATCAATAAAGGTCGTAAATTATTGTGACAAACTGATAACTTACCACCACCAAGAATAACCAATAGACTCCGAAGAGAGTATTTGTTTGGGGTGATGACCGATCTCAGATCGGAATGGCTGAAAAGGTATGATAACGTGCTGGAGAGTATTGTTGTATGTAAAGCGGCAGAGTAACGTGGGAAGGCGAGGGTTATGCAACCTGGAGATGTTCGAGGATAATCGAAATTGGACTTCATACCTTCGCTTGTAAATGGAGTACGAATATATATAATTGTGACGAATGCTCAGGTTTTGTACTTTAGCACACAACCCGCTAGCAGTAAGTCGTGTGATATCTCTAGGGCTCTCGTATTCTATATATATATCTTATTGGAGAAGTAACATAGGTCTTTAAATTTTGTCCAGCGCAATCGTTCGTAACAGTTGTTTAGCTTAAATATTTTTAGCAACGGGCTTCTCTAGCGCCCCGATGCATACTCAGCAAATATGCATGCCTGAATCCTGCTTCTTGATAGCCCCTACTGAGATTCTTCTGGTTTTCAGAGTGTTTGAAAATTTAATAATTTGTTTGTGTCTCATAGTGCTTTAGATTCACTTCGAACGACATTGTGGCCAACCACTATGGAGCGATTAGACTGTTTCTATTTGGCGCATTCATTCCTCATCTTTCGTTCGCTGCTTTGTGGTTAACTACCCCTGAAAGCGGATCGATAAGGATTGCTAGAAGATGCTCGAAAATCTAAGGACGAACGCTCTACCCTTGTGAACATTCTCCCTAATCGAACTGGCCAGCTGGTCCAATTTCCGTGCTGAGCTGTTTTGGAATCCAATTCGAAACCTTCTCCGTCGGAGCCGCACATTTCTGTGTATGCCCTGCCCGTTGTGGGCAGCATATTGCTTAGCTTATTTGACGCTCCGTACATCTTGTTCTATGCTCTATTCGTCCGAACATGCCTCCCCAGCTTATTCCTCAGGTATTACCAAACCTTGTAACACATTAACGGATTCATATACCGTATTGCTTTATAAATATATTTACAGTACGGAGCTTTTTCACTTCGGGAGGTCGGGTCTAACTTGAACAATTTCACTAAAAAAACTAAAAATCTGCGATTCCTTTGGTAGATCCTATTTTACTGAAATGTTATTAGGCGTTTCAGAAAGTTCTGTCGTTTTCCGACCCGAATTTTAAATTCATGTATCTCGGCAGAAAGTAAACCTTTCAAGCTGATTAAAAAAGCATTCGAATGCGCGAACCTTTCTCTATAAGGAACCATTCTACTGGGAACGCTTGTTCAGAATGCTGGAGCTGTTGAGGCGATGAACTGAGGGAAGGTCGATTTGGCATCATGTTGGGTTTTGATGCATTTCTCTTCAAGGAAGCTATCGAGATCGTCAGAAATGTGACAGTAGATAGACCAAAGGTCTACTAAGTAAGATGTTCGCAGAATCACTCTGAAGTCCAGCTGGTCCAACTTGTGAAGGTTGGCGGCTGCGATGTACGTCCCAGCGACACTTCCAGATATGTGTCCACCCTGTACATATGGGAATGATGACACATGTCTTATGAGTTTCGGTGATTTGCCGTAATGTTAAGGACCGATTTTCCACTGTAACAGTTCCCTGGTGTATGCCGGTAAAAAAGAACTAGGCCAAAGAGCTCGACCCTAAGAAAGATTGCATAACCCTTCTTTACACATTTGAAGCTTCGCACAGTTTGTAGAGCTCTATCGCCGTCGAGACTATCCAGCAAAGCTTCGTGAACTGAAGAGAAGAATCCGCTCTTTATTGTACGCTGCAAATCTGTAGAAAACGAGTAGCTATTATCACATAAAACAAGCTACAATTTGATGGACGACCTTCAGAATTGGTGATTTGTCGCGGCACGCCCCTATCAAATTTTTTAGACTTTCCAGCTACTTCCGTATAGCTTGGCTCTACAAACCATATACGCCCAGGTTGGGCAGAACCTCCTCTATGGTCTTACGCACGAGTGCCTTCAATCAGAACTTTTGGCTAATGGAGTGGCAACGTCCTTCCGATTATCTGACTACCACTAGTATCATACCCAAGGCTCTCGCTTTCGTTACAATAACTCGAATAACGTTTCGGAATTCTGGATGGGGATTTTTGTGGCGATTTCAGTGTGCGGATGCGATTGTTATGCGGGCTTTGTCTATGTATGTTTTGACTGATTTTCGTATAATAATTTTTTTAAACTGGGAATAATCCCGCAAATGCGTTAAATGAGTGTATGTCTTATGGGAAGCTATTAATTTAGAGTATAAGAAATCCAGATGTAAATGCCAACGTGTGTTCTCGCTGAAGGTAGATCCGCAGTGCAGGGATGATTAGTGCTTTTAATGTTGAAAAGCGATATGAAGAGTGGTTTTATTACTGAAAGCGAAGCTAGAGTCGAGATGTTTGAGGTGAGGAGATAGAGCCGAGTGATATATAAGCTCTTTAGAACTCGTGCATTCTTGCATTAGATTGCGGTGGTGTTCTGGGGTTCAAATGAAACAGAGAGTCTCCAAAAAGGGAGGCGAGCTGTTCCAAAAATCGATCAGTAATACGGTGGTGGCATCAGGGCCAATAGCTGCGTGTTATAATTTTGTTTTGTTTGCATTTTCCGGTAGATTTGCATATTTTTTTTTTTGTATGAGCGAGGTACCGTGCAATTACTGTCTTTTAGTTCGCCACTAAATTGTGCCTTCACGTTGCGGTTGATTCATTGTCCTGAATTTGAAAATTCGACTTTATCGTTGAAAGTCCCGATAAGAAGAATGAAATAAATTCCGCCGCCACATATGTAATGCGTCTGTCAACGATTTGCATAACCACATTCAAATCTAGTATTAAAGCTTGTGTTAATTCCGTTTTTGATTGTATAAGTTGTAAAAAAATGATACTGTCTCGAAAGATGCAAAACTCAGGTTTACTCAAATTTTGGTGAGCGATCATTTGTTCCTTATGTGAGGGGGGTGATGAGTGTAGGTCTGGCCTTTCAAAACGTAAGTTAGAATGATGTGAATGTTTGTAATTTGCAGTTGGCATTGTGCTCTCACAGTAGCACGAGGTGAATACGGTTGTGAGCAGGAAAACCTCGTAGGTAATACGGTAGGTAGATTCGTCTACCATGCGAGAGTAGATTCACGTAGTGAGGGATTTGGGTTTCCACGAGTGTTGAGTATGCATTAGACGGCTTTTTGGCGGCGATGGCAGCATAGGCGTATGGGTAGGAATGTATTTAGCGGTGGGTTTCTTCATTGGTCGTTCCTTGTAGTCGTTGATTTTAGTAGCAGTGGTATGGAGTGGCGTGATTCGGATTCTGAAATGTTTGTTTTGCTTTCATTTGTGGATCATGTTGGAACTTTTGGTAAGTTTGAGTGAGATTCTTTGTGAGTGTGAGTCATGCTGGATATTATTGTAGGTTATTTATTTTCTCTTTATTGTTTTCGCTGGTGGCATGTAGAAGGGGATATTTTTCTTACGTTTTTCCGATGTAGTGGGGTATGGTAATTTGGAGTAAGGGTTATTTGGTATTTCGGTGGGCTATAACTGTTGGGCTTCTTAATGGCTTCATTAAATTGGTAAGTCAGGGTGAGTCGTGAATGCTCCGCAGCCGAGAGGATCGTCTCTGATCGAGGCAGACAATCCTCGACGTTGTCCGTTTGAGAATTTTCAACTGCTCCAATAGCTATTTCACCAGACTGAGATCACAGATCAGTTTTGATGTGAGTTATATGGTTTTGGTATTTTTCAGATGGTGAAGATGCTCTAGTGCGGAGAGCAATTAAGTTTTGCCGTGACACTTCCTTTGCTCTATCGTGTTGACTTACTCAGTACCTAGTTCACCCTACCATCAACTAAGTATGTCTTGTTAGATAATTGATCTGAGGTTTGGTAGGTTGAATGGTGTTTTGAATGTCACTTTAGGACATGAGCTTCTCAATCTGCTCACTTGTTCTTCGATAGCTTGAGTTGGTTGTCGCGTCTGAATTGCACCTGTTAGTTGACTGTTGCGATTGTGCTTATGCTTTTATTCGGCGTTCCATTAGTTGAGATCTGGGGAGGAATGTTACATTGGTGATGTTTATAGTGTGGTTGGATTTTAGAATGGTGTAATTACTGGTATTATGCTTATTTTTTTTTCATGACATTGCAGATATTCGTTCATAGAACTACCTTCCAGGTTGTTATGTGTGCGTTGCTTGAATGGTACGTTTTGCTCTATCTCTCTTTTAATGAGCGCTTGTTCCATTATCGGTCTGCATTGTCCAAGAGTTCTCTTACTGTTATGTGCTCGCGGTTCATTAGATAGATGCATAACTAAGTGCCTCTATCGTATCAATCGGTTGAAAGTTATCGGTATGATGAGTCAGGCAGTCCTGTTCGTTTTGAATTTGTGCGAAACATGATCTCTCGCAAATTTGGAGATAGATGTCGGGAGATCTCATGGTTGATGTGTGGAGTGCTTTGCTTAGTCTGCTTATCGTGGTGCTGGGCGTTAGTTCTCTCGTAAGCTTCTCAGCTGGCGTGAAGTGGGAACACGTAGAAAACGCTAAAGCAACCACGTCATCATCAGGCGTCATGCATCTCAAGTCATGAAACAAAGAATAAAACAGCACTTACCAAAAAGAAGTAATATATAATCATGAGAGGTAAAATAACAACAGCGAATATGGGTGTTGATATCACGATAACTATCAGTGTGACAAAAACCTAAAGAAAAGTTAGGGTTGACTCAGGATAATCTCATCGGTCTCAAATTCACTCTCCATCTCAAAGGTGAAGCAAGATGTTTACTGAAAAGTGTATTGAAGCCCCCACGAAAATTAAGATTGAAATCAATTGCGTGTCAGTCCGCACCCTCAGGAGGTCCGCCTGTCTCCCCACTAGGCAATTTTCCACTTCTATCGACCTTCCTCCTTATCGTGGAAACCTCCTTTAACACATTAGCGACAGCATAACACGCATGCGTGTCAGACCATGCAGACCTCATAAGACATTGGGGCTCGCATACGTGTTAGAACTTTCTTATCCATTTGTTTTCACGAATGCAGTCCTTCTTTCCAATTTCGACACATTTATACCATTGGCAATACATTAAAGGCGGTGATACCATAAAGTAGAAGCACATCGGGGAAGCATATGCACCACACAAATCAGTTACTTGGCTGCCAGGAAAGCGAGGTGTAGCGCTTTCATGACGAACGGTGCGCTGTTGCCTGAGCAGGATTCGAAAGCACTCCGCCCCAAAAGCGATCCGCCCACTAGTTTAGTTGTGATTTTTTGGAGCAGCGTTGCCAGCAGCGGCACAACTGGAGCAACTCGATTGGAGTGTGGTTTGGCATGCGTTACCAAACGCGTTGCGCTGAACTCGTTCATACGCCCTTTCTGAGCTGTCACCTCTTTATGAGTGAAAACCAACGGCCAAAAAAGGGGTCCCATTTTGCGTTTTTTTTGACGGATTTTCTCCGCTTCTTTCGCAACAGGCGTACCACTGAGCAACACCGTTCTCCTTTAAAACCTTCTGACCTATCGTAATGGCTGCCTTTAACACATAAATCACAAGACCATTCTTGTAAAATTGCAAATTTACGTGCGAAGTGGAGAGACCAAGCTATGGCATTCTGGTCACAGCGACACGACGGAAGAATGGAGGATATAGCTCTTGCATACCGTTTTCGCTTTTGGATGCGCCGTGCATACGGGCTCCATAGAGGATTGTGACCGAGTTTGAATGTGCGCTTGATGCACAAAGGAGTTTTGTATGAATTGTACCGGACGCCTCATACGAATAATTTTGCGATAACCATTGGATCATAGTTTTCCTTCGAGATAACTCAAGGGGAGCCAACGAAAAAGTGAAAACTGTGATCAGAGGAACGAACGGCTTCGTGTACGTCGAGTTAAGAGAACAACGGAACTCTTTGGCAGGCAACCGTGACCAATCAAGAAAGTGCTGGGGCCCGCTCGAAGATTTCGGAGAACTATAGTATACAGTTGATAAACTAGTTTTTTTCTACTACACGAACCAAGCACAAGTTATTCGACCTAAACGTATGGAAATCTCTCATGCGAAATAATACTTGGGATCCAATAATACCATGAGCAGAGTCAACCCTGCGTTGCGCAGTTCGCAACGGCACGTTGAGAGATCCTCAACGCACGCTGTATGGGCGGAGACGCAGACGGCTCGAGCATGCGAGTGTGAATGTTCGCGCGAGAGAACGTGTCTAATCGGGCGAAACTGCGCAACGTGGCCGTTGAAAACTGCGCAACGCAGGGTTGACTCTGCTGATGTGTTGTAATATTTGCCAAGCTTATCATTAACACCTCTGGCACCAGGAATTGCAACTTTTTTCATACTGCAACTTACAGACAAACACTACTATCAAATTGGTACGGCAGTCCTGCTAGAATATCAAAGCAAGAGTTCAAAGGGGACCGCCAGTTAAAAAGAAACCGACAAAAACTGGAAATAGCAGACCTTTTTTGCGCTGCGGAGTAGTCTACTGTTAAGAGGCAGTCAGCGGGATAAGCGATAATGGGTGCCGACGCGGAGGACGATAGACGGAGGCGAGAGAGCATAGCAGGTAGCGATACTACAGATTAGCGATACCATAGCAGTGGGCGGAACCACCAGCACAGGGCCAACGGACCGGCACTGGCGCCTAATAACGTCTTTTCTAGGGCACCATCACCAGGAGGAGTCTCATATCATCAGGAGCACCATCAACGGCTCCTGCCCCTTTTTAGCTTATCCTCATCATTTCATCAACTTAACCATGATGGTGACTTTAAACGCCATAAAACTTGAAATCTTGCTTCTAATTTGAATGTCTTATAACGAATATAAAGGATCGACCTGGAGTATACACATAGCAAGATACCGAAAATTCGTAGGGAGTAACATGTCGACCACTTCAATGTCCTAAATGAAGAACTCAATTATGTGAACTCAGAAAACAGTGAATTCAGTGGACTTCCCCTTATTCTATATAATAAGACATCTCATACTTGAGCAACAGGGGAAAGGACCCACCTTTGCACAACGATTTAGAATTCTTCCAAGAGGTGTCGTGTCGTAGAACGACATAGGAGAGCGAAACAGATTGTGGAGTAATGGAGCATGGAGATTGTAGGATGCGGCGAGTCCAGCAAATGCAAGACTCACTAATGAAAACAAAAAGCACAGCGCTGAAAAGTAGTGTTCAGAAAGGCGATAACTTTACCGGGTATTTGCACCGGGTCAACGATCTCTCTGCAGTAAAGAGATTTCATTCGAGACGACACTGTTTCTTTTTCATGAACAACCTACATTCTATTGTGCCTAAGGTACCGTAGATGCCTAATCGCCAACCAGTCGCCATTTTTTGAGCATGTTGACCATCATAATCATCTGACCTTAAAATATCCAGTTCCACTGTTTAAGTCATGGAAGGGCAACTCCCAAAAACTGACCAAGCGGATAACCAGAAGCTACGCATAGTTTGGAATAACTGGAAAGCAGCCAGTAGGAAAAAGAATGAGAAGCATTTCCAGTAAGTTCCCGCCTTCATGTAAAGCCGATACACAGAGAGCTTCACCTGGAAGGCAGTTCTTACAACACACAATGGGGAACAAGCTAGAACGTTATACAGTATAACTGGAAGGAACAAGCCAAATGCATCTTGAAAAAAACTTCGCAAAGCTCACTTGTCCTGTTTCAACCTCCTCTTTTTTGATGAGTTTACCGTCGCTGGATTTGATCATGAAGGACGATGTCAAGGCGGACTTGCTTCTGAATAAGTCAAGAAAGTATGATAGTGGTCACATAGAATAACGATAAGAGCTAAACGTGACAAAAATAATGAATTTACGTTTTCTCTTCACTATCAGAAAGATCCTTCGAAGTATCGATGTCTGAAAAAAAGTTTGGATGGTGGGAATAACACAGAAAAGAGACAAAATGAACAGCATTCTCAATAATTCTCCAAACAACCAACCGTCTGCACTTTTTTCCAATCCGTCAGAGTCTCCTGAGCCTTCACTGTTCTCATCACTTTCGGAACTCGATTTATACTCCTCAACGAATTTGTAAAAAGCACCACGCTGTCTCATCAGTTCACTATATCGGCCGTTCTCAATTATGCGACCATCTAAAAGAGAAACTCTCACCATCTTACCAGGAAGGTCTTTCAGGGCGTGACAAGCTTTTTGAAAACGGTCTTTTGCATGATATAGGGGCAGATGCGGGAACCACAGAACCATGTTCAATTTTTCCTGAACGGCCCTCTGAATACCAGAAAAGGAGGTCCCTAGTTCGATTCCTCGTGGTAACAAATTTTTGCATTTCGAGTTGACGTGCCAAAATTCGCGCAAAATGGAGTTAGAACCAACCAGAACAATCAGAACTCCATTTTGCGCGAATTTTGGAACGTCAACTCGAAATGCAAAAATTTGTCACCAAGAGGAATCGAACTAGGGACCCCCTTTTCTGGTATTCAGAGGGCCGTTCAGGAAAAATTAAACATGGTTCTGTGGTCCCCGCATCTGCCCCTATATCATGCAAAAGACCGTTTTCAAAAAGCTCGTCACGCCCTGAAAGACCTTCCTGGTTAGTGCATTGAAAAGGAATGAGTAAAAACCTTGTAAAACAATAATCTCGTCCGCGAATTTGATATATGACAATCTATGAGTGACCAGAATCCTCGTTTTGTTTCGCAGGAGTCCATCTGGGCCTAGCACCTGTTGAAAATAGAATAGGTTATCCCAATAAAATTCGAGACAAATAGTAGTAATCTTTGCCACAATGGAAATAACTTAGTACTTTTCAGTGTTTTACCTTTTCAAAGATGTGCCTTCCAACGTGCGCGTCTACAGCAGACAATGGATCATCAAGTAAATATATATCGTGATCTTGGTAAACTGCTCTAGCTAAGGACACTCGAGCCTTTTGTCCCCCGGAGAGATTAATCCCCTAAAAAAACGGTCAAAAATGAGTTTTCGATAACTTCGGCAAAACCAGCTATACAACTGAACTACCTTTTCTCCAATTTCAGTCAAATCACCGTGTGCGAGTACTTTCAGATCAGGTTTCAGAGCGCAAGCAGACAGCACCTGAGTAGTAAAAAGGCTGATAACACACAGTACTTACAAAAAATTATTCCGTGACTAGAGCTTGCTGCTCCGTGGTTTTCGATACTCACTTGGTTGTACTTGCGCTTGTCAAATGGTTTACCAAAGAGTATATTGTCGCGAAGCGTCATATTCTGAATCCAAGGTTGCTGTGGTACATACGCCACATCCCCATGGAGACCAACTGTCCCGCGCAACTTTCCCATCTCGCCTAAAAGGAGAATGGGGCTTTTGAAAGTCAGTGGTTGTTCATGGTGTTACAAATAATTCGCAAATCTGTTTACCTAAAAGTGCTGAGAGAAGGCTCGACTTTCCTGCGCCCACCTGACCCACGACAGCGATGAAGGAGCCGCCTTTAGCTTCGAGATTAATATCCTACAAATACTTAGTTTAAAAAGAAAGGCCGGCACCAGAAATAGCGAATACAACTAAAAAGCTCAACCTGGAGGGTGTTTGTGGTCCTTTGTGAATCACTGCCTTCATCCCAAGTGGCTGAGAAATCTCCAAACTCAACGACACTCCCGCCTGAACAGTTTGATTGAAGAGAAGTTCGTCATCTTGGCAAAGACTGTGGTGGTGCCGAGGAATCTAACATATTCACATCCACTTCATTTTCTCATGTTGAACTATCGAAGTACGGCTGGATTTAAAGGCAAGAGGTACGATAAATTGGACGATGAAAAGGAGAAAATCTGCCCATTGTTGTGGAAGGCTAGTATCTCAAGAGACTGATGGTAAGATGGGGCTACCAAACCGCTACGGGCTACTTTCATGGCAAAAAATACGCCGTAGCGGTTTAGCAAGGCCTTGTCTGTAGTGTACACTACCTTCGCGAAGAGCCCAGCCACCTAGTGGGTAGCTGACCTAAAACTGATCGGTGGTGAAAGTTTACTATTTTCAGCGATGGAACGTACAGGGTGGGCCAAAATTATGAGGACAAAGACATTATGTGATCAAAAACGCATAGTAGCTTGATGGAACAAACAAACTTCAGGAAGTGTTTGTAACTCTTATCTCAAAGTAATTCCAGAATAGAATTGAGATCTGCCACCTGCCCCGTTACACGAGCCTTCAGATGAAGGGGATGGCGCGTGCGGTGGCACGCAACTAAGGCGTGTCAAAATGTTTTCTCCTTTGCCTTCTTGAAGCGATCAAAGTTTCTCGGAGTTTCTATTTGCGCTTGCCTATAGAGTGTTTCACACAGGAAATCTAGAAATTTAGTTAGCGTGCTCCTATGGCGACTTTTAAAGAAATGGCTCGAAAAATTACTTCTAGAGAGCTTTTGCTTTATTCTTGAGTGCTCGGTCCTGTAAAAAGTCTCCAAGTAGACTACTCGTGTGGCTTTCTATCCACTACAGATGTGGAGTCTTTAGAGTGTCTGGCTGGGTTTTCACATCAATTTTTTCATTTTGGGGGTGTAGCGAAAGGAGAGGGAGTTTCTGCATCTGATAATTGTCCTGGTGGTAACTGCAACCTTTGAATCTCCGAATTTTCCATCTGTGGTGATTCCAAACTTATTGAAGAGTTGAACTGTTGCCCATAAGAGCTTCCCTGATACGTTAGACTGCCGCTAGATGTAACGTGCCAGAACCCCCCCTGAGTTCAATTTGAGGACTGACGTACCGTGATGTAGTTATTTCACCAAATTTGAGAACTGCAAAGTATTTGGTTCCAATAGTAAGAGGACCTTGTTCCCTATCAGTCACAGAATAGGATATGGAAATGGAGCGAGTCGGAAAAAAGTGGATATAAGACGCTGCCCTCATAATTTTGGCTCACCCTGTATAAAGGCAGAACACGGGTTCACACTGATAACACCATGTCTCAGAGAATCTGTCGAACGAAATCAAAGAACCGAAAAGAGGTATCATCGAATTAGATTTAGACAGCCTCGTGATTTTTTTCTTCATCACTATCTCTGCCATCATTTTCAAGGGCATCCACAATTTGCTTCTGAAGAGACATGTGATGTGTTCTCTGTTCTCACAAAAAAAGGTATTGCTCGGTCCAGGCACATGTAATGAGGTGTACACCTAAATATGTGTCTCAAGACGTTAAGTTAAAACCTGCTTTCGTTATGAAACTTTGAAATGAATTTATGAAACAAGATAGAGCAGCGGTAGTGATCCTAAATCACAGGCAAGAGGCGTCCGTTTGCTCTTTCCAGAAGTACAGCTACGAAGACTTTTACTTTCAATTTGAGTGTGGGCATTCGTCTGTAGGTCACGAAATTCAAGATTTGAAGATGTTTTCGCTGAGCGATTCGTAGATCTCTTGCGTCTCATATTGGTGAGAAGTGAATGTTTCAATTTTCATAAAGAAGAAAAGTGGAACGAGTATTTCTTTTCCTCGAAACGACACAGATTCCTCACTCTATGACACCTCCAATAGGACTGCCAAGAGTGGCAATATTTCGTTACAGCCAACCGAATGCTAACCTACCAGTGCGCTGCTCTCTATCTACTATACTTAGATCGAGTTCCTCAGCTACAAAGTATTCCTTCAGCCTCCGATTCGAAACGAGCACCTGTGTGAGGTTTTTGATAAGTAATAATAGACAACAATGGAGTATATTTACATAGAAACACAAACCAACCCACCTGTACTATTTGACTTATGAGCATCGCTATCATGGTCATGGGAGAACGAAGTTGATTGAAAAGTGTCAAGGATACGAAAGCAACCTAAATGAAGAGCTGCTACTTATGAGAGTTGCTTGCGAAACAGTAACGAAAGCACCTGTGGTGTAAGCTCATGTGACGTGACGACAACACATATGTGCCAAAGGAAAATAGAGCAACCTAGAAATAGGATATGCAACTACATATACAAAGGAATGCTTGATGAGCCCTTAGTGTGGACGAAAACGCAAGGTTCTCGTTGCTAATGAAGTTATCGAGCTACATTTAAACCAATCTTAAGCGAACTGAACGTGGAATATAAGATTGAATGAGGGAGACAAAGAGTTCAAGGTAACAGGGAGAAAATCGTCTATCATGTTTCGTCTGAGTAGAGCAAACAACACAAGAAGCTGCCAGTAATATTAAGGCCACTGCGTGTACAGTACGTGTATACCTTACGAGATCCTCCAAAAAACTAGCCAAACTTCTCCAAACCAGCTCCTTTGAACAGCCGCGCGCAGTGACTATGGTTCTCTTACCATATCCACGGTTCCCAAGCGGCAATATAAGCTAATGGCAAGCATATTAGAAGTAGCTCTTATTTTGCATTTTTGCGCCAGAATGAGTGATACACAAGCTCACAGCTCACAGGAGGCTGCGCCGAAGCCGCCTGCTCTGCCTCACACCCTCATACCCTACAGCATGATGAGTAAGCTTTCCTCAGACTTGTTTTGTTCGTTAACTGCTGTTTTTGGCCGCAGTTCGCCTTGTGGAAGTTTCACAAGAATTCTAAGTCATTAACAAAACCTCGGATCCAGGCAGGGCTCGGACCCGCATCCTCCGCTTACCGTCAAGTGTGTCTAGCCACGCGTGGCACTGTTTGGCCGATTTCAAACCCTGCGAATCGCGCTAGTGCCGCGGTCGCGATGCAGTGCCAGCCAGTTGAGCGATTTGATGGCTGCGACGCTATCACGGACGTTGGTGAATCGCAAAGTCTGACATCGGCTTCACCCTACCTCAGCTTTTAAGCTATTCTCAAAACTATTGTCGAGAAATGCATCCATGTAAGTAGATGCACAGGTCTCACCAAAAATGGACTGGCGGTGTTGAAAGAATCCATGACATTCCTGACAAGGAACGATTTTCGCAACAAAACCAACTCTTTTCGCCTTATTTCATTGATGAGTTCCTCCATTGGTAATTCCCATGCATACAATTTTACCACCTAAAGAGAAACAACTGTCGATCTACAATCATTGCAAAGATGAAATGTCCAGGTTCTAACCTTAATCCCGTTGAGAACTTCATTCACCATCTTAGTTCGCTCATCCTTCAGTTTCATTTGTTGGACCTGATGGTAGCAATGGCTGTGATTATAGAAAGCAGAGAGCGCATGAATCGATCGTGAACACAACTCTACCTGCCACTTTTTCACAATTATAGAACAAATAATGTTCGACGGTAGGGCAATTAACATTATAATGAATCCCGGCAAAGCCGAATAACCAAGGGTTAAAAATAAGTACGCCAAAGCTAATGTTATCTGAAAAAATCTTGAATACGGATACAACCACTTGAGAAGATCGCGAAACAAAGAACAAAGTGTGAAGCACGAACCTGATACGGGCAGCTCCAAAATTGTTGAATTTGAGGAGTAATCATTTGAAATCTTTCTATATCAATAGCCATTAAATTAACAATTTCTCCGACTGTTTTATCTCTTCGGGCAGAGTTGGACAATTCTAAGGACTATAAGAAATCTGCATGAGATTAGAAGGGAAAATAATTCTACTTTGTGGGTCTAAAGGAAAACACAGCAAACCTTTTTATAGACCGCAGCAGTCAGAGCGGTTTGGAATTTGATTCCCATACGGAACATGATGTAGAAATACGAGTTAAGAACGAATGAGCGGACCTATACGTTGGATCGGATAGAAAACAACTTCCCAACAATGTGATAGAGTCCAGTAATTACCTCTGATGCCGCGAACATTAGTATAGAGTAGGAAAGACCAACCCACAGAGGGGATTTGGGATCAGACACGAAACCAATGAGCTGGCTGAAATGGATAAGAGTTGGGGGCTAGCAATACAAGAGGACCATATAAATAGATAAAGGGCATGCTACAGAACTCACTGTAACAAAAATGGGTTCGCAAACTGCAGCGTATCGCTAGTTATTTTGAGAACGGAAGCGAAGAGAAATTCCCAGCGAAACATCATGAAGAGGCATCCAATCACTGAGGGTAGCCTCGGCTTCTTCCCTTTCCTGGAAGAGAAGCGAGTAAAACTGATGAGAAGAAAACCTTAAATGTACATGCAAAACAGTCAATTATAGTTACACTCCAGTCAAGTAATAGAACTTCCTCTTATGCGGGCACGGAAATGCTACGACTATCACTCATGTTGTGATACTACGCGTGAGCGTCCATCGTAACCAAAAAACCCAATGTTCCATACGAAACTTACCCATAATCTTGCCAGATTCGCATTTTGTTGTAGTAATCTGAATAAGTAAGCTTATTATCACTACAACAGTAAGAGAGCAAGTGGACAGTGACCTGCTATTCGGTGGTGCCAGTGCTCTTCCCACAGTTCACTCAAATACTTCGTTGTACTTCCTTCATTCAATTCGAAGAGATCTTCGGGCTCAAAAATAATATATGTGTACGAATGGTCAAGTTTTCAAAAATCGAAATGTTACACAAGCTAATCAACTACTTTTCGCCTACCTCAAGATCTTTGCGAGCACCCTTCCAAGGGACGGGATTAAACCACCACAGAGTAAGGCGATTGAAAAAGGAGCTATCCAATTCAGCAGAACCTCGCTAAACTATATTGTACAGAAGCCCCATGACAACCATGAATGCCTAGATAACACAAATACATACCGCCTTTTCAGTTGAATCACGTGGATCAGCCCAGCACATAACGAAAACGTAAATGATAACAGCTGCGTACCATACCAGGTATGAAATACATAGCGCAGACGACAAATAAGATGGAATCCTATAAAGACGGAGGGTCGTCCTTCTACATTTATTGACAACCAAGGTACAGTCTCCAAGTTTCTGCCGACAATCAGCTGGTAGCAAGTGTGATCAGCAATAGTCACAAATTGTGAAAGCTGTTACTGATAACAATTGAAATGGCTATACATAGTTGGTTGAAGAAACTGAAGAAATATGAGATCAAATCCAGAAATTCAATTGCGCTATGGGGTAATAACTACAGACATGTAGGGGCTACCTAGAAGGAAAGTAACATAAATAGATACGAAAAATGAAATGAAGAAAAAGGAATTGAAGACTGAAGAGTGAGTCTAAAGGGAAGTGGATGCCAGTGTTCAGGCAAAGGAAGGAAATGAAGGGAAGTTGTAAGAAGATCGGCGAAAGGTCGAGGAAAAGGGATGTGACCACAAGTATAGTGAGGGACGGCTGCTACGTTTCTATCTGTGTCAGTTGAAACTCACGTCATTGCCTTGTCTAACATTTTGATAAAATTGCGGTCCGCCGCAAACGGCAAACAAAACAGCCGACAGATGTAAGACTCCAGAAGAAACCATTCCAGATTCCTTCCGTAAATAGTGAGTATAAGTGATAAATCCCTGAATTTGGAGTTCAAAACTGGGAGAACCAAGTAAAAAGATGAGTTGAGGACATCAGATCAACACAACTACTTACGAAAGTTACGCTTAATAGGATTGGATATAGTATATCCGAGGCCGGAAATGAAGTGCTAGAGAATATCGTATAAAACATAATGAACAAAGATACCAAGGTAATGAAGGTCGTGTTTCCCTGAAAAACGAACACATTACGATGCTACATCACCGTCCGTTCAGTACACTACTACTTCACCTTATATCAAATAAGGACTCCTCAAACGACGACATGATAATATGAAATTGTCCTTAACGATCGTGGACTCTCACAATAATGTTTTGTGCCGACAAAATCAAGTGACACTGTATTATAACTTCAGTCCCGGTACCATTCGTACCTAGTAAGTAGCTGCCCTCACCCCCCACCCCTAGACTGCCTTCACACCCCCTGGCTCACGGGGTCCCGTACATCGAGAAACCTGTGCGCCAGGGGGAGTGTAGGCAGTCTAGGGGGTGGGGGTGGTGAGGGCAGCTACTTACTAGGTACGAATGGTACCGGTCTGATTATAATACAGTACAAAACTCACCATTTTGAGATATAATTGTAGACTCCAAGGCAAGCTTTTATACCTACGCCCATTTAGCGATGCTTGGGCAAATAAGAAAGGCAGAAGAACCCAAAAGAAGGCAGTTGGTATCCACACGAGGATAGTGTGTTGAAAACATACGGACACATTTGGTAGACCACTAGAGAAGGGATTGTGCTGAAAAAATTTCGTTGGAGGGTAGACAAAAGTCGCTCAAGGATCTCATCCAGTAATATGCATGTGGTGCGACAGACCTTCTCGGGTCTTTTTAGTAAGGAGTGGTATGCGGTTGAGAGAGCTCCAAGTGTTGAGAACCTTGGACAGCATACTCTACCACTGTGAAGGTTTAGGACGAAGCCTTAGAAGCGACGGAAATTGAATTGAATTGAATCGTTGAATTCGCGAGCGATCTTCGTTTTCGGGGGAGAAAGGCTAGGCTTTGTTCTAGCTGCTCACTAGGTAAATATTACTTTCATAGCAATAGAGCAGACTGTGCACCGCAATGCCCCCTCTTACTAGAATGGACCCTTCTTCGCGTCTGAAAATCCTTTTTCACAAGAGAAAGGAGGTGGTGTAAAAGTGTGGGTGTAAAAGCGGAAGTAGATGGGTCTTTTATCCGAAATTTCCTTCATTGTAAGGGATGAGTAAGCAAACCAGCCCTTTTGGCGTTTCTGCTGGGGCCGTATGCTGAATGTTGGGGAGGGGATGGGGTCCCCGACGGTCGACGGACTACTTCAACTCGGTCCTTAAAACCGCCTCAATTTGATGCTTACCTCAGGACTAAGCCTTAAAGAGAGGACGGACCTGCGAGAGAGCGCAGGTCCGTCCTCTCTCCAAGGCTTAGTCCTGGGGTAAGCAAACCAACCAGCCCTTTTGGCGGAGCTGCTGGACCTAGCTGCACCACTTCGTCATCACTCTCCTACCGTACCGACCGAGTTCAAGTAGTCCGTCGACCTCAGGGACCCCATCAACTCCCCAAATACAGCCCCAGCAGAAACGCCAAAAGGGCTGGTTTGCTACCTCGTAAGGGATTAGAAATTAATTAGGCGACAGCAAGTGTGGCACCATAGAAACCTTTTACTGGATGAGACCCTCGTTCAGTGCTGTATCTATCTCAGACCGCTGGAAATACCTGTGAATTTCCAAATGACAATCTTCATAGCTAGTCTCAGAAGGGAAATATAATAAAAAGAAACTAGGAAATTCAGCAACTCACCCATAAATCTCCACCACAAAAGCTCTGCCAATTAATTACCCCCATTTCCCAGGTATAGCGAGCCCTAAAAAAATAACTAACAAACTTTTTCAAAGAGTGCGAATCATAATGGAAACTACGGAAATAGCGATGTCAAACTGAGGAAGGCAAAAACCGACCGAATATTGGTGAAATCACAAACAATAGAAATCCTATATGAGTAAACTTCGGTGCAAATTAATGAACGTTCCAACGACCTTATCGCCCACATCCGTGTAGTCAATAAAGCAAATACGGAAATTTTTTCAAGGCACTCCGTATACGTCATTGCGACTCATTTGTTAGGCAGAGTCCACATAGGTAATGTGCCATCGGCTGCGCTAAGCGAGAGCGGAATTGCAGCATAGAGCTTCGCAATTCGGTGCTAACTTACAGGTGCTTGTT